TTTTCAGGGAAGTGAGAAGCTTCTTCATTTAGTCACTGATGATTGCACTTGTCCGAATCAGCATCTTGAGACGAAGATGCGTGAGAGTACAGCATCAAACTCTGATAAAGGAAGTGATGATTCTGTTGGTCCTACATGGGTAGGTATCTTAATATTGTGATTTGTGAAATATTAATTGCAATAATTGATATGCTCATAGTTCTTTCTTTTGCTTTGTCCCTTCCCCTGGATTTTGTTTTCTACCATTCATCTTGGTTGCATAGAGCTACTTCTAATTAAACTTGCTTATTTTCTGGACTCCATTAAATACTGGGACTTGAATGTTGATAATTGTTGCTTTGTGAGTTTGTTATGAAATAGTACTTCAACAACTGAGTACTTGTCCAAATAGGGAAAATTCAATGATACCGTAAATAAACTGGATACACGAGGCTTTGATCTTGCAGTTCAGATTTTGGGTGCGCTTCTCTTTAAGTTGCATGACCCTTTCGCCTCTCTTCACCTCTCGAAATGCTGGTGCTGCTAAATTGTATTGTGCTTTTCAAACTCAACGTTTGCCTCAAATTTTTTTATTTTTTTTTATGGAAGGAAACTTATGCACTTTTTCTGTCCCCTACTGTTCTTTATTTTTTTTAATAAAAAGTCTAGCACCTAATATTCTCATAATTTTTAATTTGGTTAATTTGGGTACTCACTATCTCCATGATTTCCGTGTCAATACATGAGCTTATTACTATTTTTGTTTCCTAATTTTCACATTCTGACGTACTTCATATTTTCAGTCTAGGTTTTTGCTTCGTCCAAGGAACTTGATGATGTTATTCACCACGATGATGCCAATGGTCTTAGTAAATGTAGTATCAAAAAATCTGCGAGAAATTCAATTTGAATACAATGGATGTTATTAAGTACCAAGATAACATGTAATAGAAATTGCATTTTCTACGAACATCTGTTTGACGGATTCCATTAATTGTTCTAGACATTTTTGCCAGTTGCTGATGGAAATTGAACATAATTGAAAAGTACTTGTGCAGTTAGAACTACATAAAGAAGCTCTTGGCACAGGAGGCTGAGTTCAGATTATGAACATTTAGAGCATGTTTGGAAAAGCTTTTTAAAGCTTAAAATTTCATCACTTAATTATATTCTATAACCCATATTCCCAAAACTATCAATCTGGCACCCTAAAAGCGAAGATAGAAATACGAGGTTTATTGCAATGTCTTTAAATTAAAAGAATAAAGAATGTTTGATTGACTTTATTTTTCATAAAAATGTAATTTTTTTCCACTTAAATTCTTATTTTTGAGATATTTGATTGGCAATTTTTCCATAGAAAAATATTTTTTAACTTTTGGTCATAT